GCTCTGCTACCATTTCTCACCCTCTCTCCCTGCCTTCTCCCTGCACTCATACATGGAAATGAAACTGGAGGGCAACGGACAGAAAAAAAAAAAACCCCAAACAACCAAGCAACCAATACTGACGCACTGAGACTTTATTAGAAAGTTTCATAACTGCCTGTGTCCTGCCACGTTACGACACCGCACACACGCGCCCTCGCTCATACGCACACATAGGCACATTCCCGCACTCCCTCTCACCCGCACGCACACAGCACAGCCTCACGGCTCGCCTGCCTCGGCCGAAAGTGTCACATCAGCCACAAAGATTATTCACAAGCAACACAACTGCAGAGTGAAAAGCGCCCGTTTGGGTTGCAGCATTTTGAGGAACTGGTGGTGGCGCACAGAAGAGCCAAACGCTTTGTCTTTGCCTTTTTTTTTTTTTTAAATCGCGATAAGAGCTGCACAACTCAGGGCATAGTTTCTACAAAAGCCCCAGGTGTCTTATCTTCAAAGGAAAAATCTTCTTTCTCTCTCTGACTGCAACGCTGGAGGGATATGCTGCTACAAGACTCCAGCCCATGCTTAGCTCGCTGTCACTCATTTGCAGTACTGTTTTAAATTCAGGAGTGTCTGGCTCATCTGCTGGGAAGTAATGTAACAAAACAGTGATTAGCTTTCTCAGAAAATAAATTGTTTGCAACAGACTGAGCCAGAGTATAAGAACTGCTCTTCTTTCTGTTGCTACAGCACTGGTCTGCAAATAGTCTGGTAAAAGCCGCAAGGGCTCCCTGCAGAGTAACCTCCCACATACTGGAAAGAGGCTACAATATTGAATAATTTCTCCTTTATTTTTTTTCTCCAATTTCTGCTTACTCTTTTCATCTGTGATAACCTACTGTTTAGATCTGGGCTATAATTGGATTTGGTTTTGTCCAAAGAATATGGCAAAGCTTACATTACAGGAGAACTGAAATTCTCATAGTGGGATCTGCCCTATGTGCATAATTTACTGACATATTTTAGTAGGAGCTGATTTCTCTCACTACTCACCCAAATTCAGCTAAGCTTATTGCATTTAAATATTTACTTCCAAAATTTATATTTGGTCTTACCTCCGTGGGAGCCAGTTGCAGAACTACCTAGGGAAATAAATCAATTTTTACCTTGTGCTAGTTTTAGCAGCAGTAATTTTACTCAGCTGTTTGGATTAGCATTATATTGATGGTCCTTCCCGCACCAAACCCCCCAGGTATACAAATGAGCATCACAGTAGATGGCATATAACATTTCACTTTGGAAGGGACCTGCAGCTCCCTGTCTAACCTATGTACAAAGACACTGCTATCCCTGGTCTCTTCCAGATGTTTAAAGCTTTCCAGCAAACAAACAACAATCCACTATGTACACAGCAGCAAAAAGAAAACAAACACAACAATATACGGCTGTATTCTAAGGAATGAGATGGTTTCTGCAGCATACAAATAAGCGACCAAAAATAGATATAGCAGAACACTGCTTGGTTCAAATCAGATGAAGGGCACTCCGTTTCTGTGGATAATACAGCCCAGGAGAGCAGGGAAGCATAACTCGGTCTGAGCTTCTGCTGAGGGCTCAGATAAATGTGCGTCTACCCTGTTAAGCGAAACAACTGCTTAGATAAACCTGTGGAAATATAATTCCATCTAATTTCATTTTCCACCTAGCTGAGTTGCTTTTCTGCTTCTCACTTGCTGTGAATTTGAAAGGCCTTGAAAATGTTATTATAATGGATTAAACCTTTGGAATTTTTAACTCTTTGATCCCTTCACAGCATTGGCGACTTTATAAACTGTACCCTGATAGTGCCAGTATCTCAGCAACTACATTTCATCTGCTTTTTTCGTAAAATCCTCAACTTGCTAAACTGACTGAACTCAATGAGCTGCTGTGTCAATCTTGGATATACCAGACAACACTACAAAAAGCATTACTTGGCTTCCTCATAAAACGTCAAATCCCCAGAGAAGGAAAAA